GGGCCAAGTCTGGGCGAGGCCGGGCTGGGCGGGCGGGGGCCGGCGGCTGGGCGGGGCCGGGCTGGGCGGGGCGGGCGGGCGGGCGGCTGGGCCGGGGCCGGGCTGGCGGGGCCCGGGCTGGGCGGGGCCGGGCGGGTGGGTGGACTGCGGTGGCCGGGCGGGGCCTGCGGCGGGGCGGGCTGCGGCGGCGGTGGCCTTGCGCGGGGCGGGGCTGCGGCGGTGGGGTGGGTGGGGCATGCGGAGGGGCGGGGCAGGGCTGGGCGGGGCCGGCTGGGCGGGCGGGCCAGGCGTTGCGCGGGCCAGTCTGCGATGGCCGGGCTGGGCGGGGAGCCAGGCTGGGCGCGGTCGGGCTGGCGGGGCGGGGCGGGGCCGGGCTGGCGGCGGCCGGGCTGCGCGGGCGGGCGCGCGACTGCGGTAGGCCCGTCGGGGCTGCGGCGGGGCGGGCTGCGGCGGGCGGGCTGCGGCGGGGTGGGGCTGCGGCGGGTGCCGGTGGGGTGGGGTATGCGCGAGGCGGGCCGGGCTGTGGCGGTTTGCGCGGTGCAGCATGCATGAGGGCGACGTGGGCGACGTGGACGGGTGGTGGTGCAGGCCATGCATGTCTTTCATGCGGCACTGTTCACTCGACCTACTCCGCGCCCGCCGCACGCCTGCCCCTCCCGCCTCCCTCCCAAAGGAACCGCCGCTGCCAGCACCGCTCCCTCTGGGCCCCCCCCCTATTTCCCTCCCCAAGGCGGTATACACGGTGCAGATTCTCGAACAGTTTCTGTACAGAAACTTGGAAATCCCAAACTATACTTCATTGTTTTTATTGTGCAGTCTCAATGTCACGCACGACGAAGTGAAAGGGAAGGCAGGCTCCAATAGGGAGCCGTAAAAGAGGAAGTTGTAGTAACGTTGCAGCTCTCTATTGGAGCCTGTCTTCCCACTCGCTTTTTCGTACGTAACCTTGAGACGCCACGTAAACACATAATGGAAGTACAGAATTATAAGAGCCAAAAGTCGCACATACACGGTTTGTCCGTTTTTTGTAGGAATTCTGGATGAAACGCATCAAGACGCCCGTAAAGGGTCCAACCGGGAAATAACTGAATTGCGCAGTTCGAGTACTTTCTGTGCGTGCGTTCTGGCTGTGATCTTTATTAAGTATTAATTAACCATGAGAAGTATAGAGAAGAGAAATAGACAGGCAGAAATAGGGAAATAGGGGCTATAGCACAATAGCACTTCACGCAATCGCACTGTGACACACCAAACCACAAAATTGAAATGGCCGATCGTCACGCCGGGTAAACAAATCCGTTAGTGAACGATTCTACCGATAGAGGCGCTTGAGTCAAACTGTAAGATTTCTGAATGAAAAATTACGAACACGCTCAAACGTTTTCAAGCAGCAATCGAGCAGTCGGAACGTTTTTTGTACGTCCACTCAGCATAAAAACTGTACCGTGTACAGCGGCCTGAATTCTTTCGCACAGCCCGCCTCGTCGCTTTGCCTCTTTACGTCTTCTTAACTTCCCCTGCCTCTCGCTAACTCCAAAGTACATCCTCGCATGCTGCGCCTATTATACCTCTCAACTCGTCTCGAGGCTCTCGAGGAAAGCACTGCTTAGGCTACCCCGAATTTTTAATAAACAGCACAGCTTTCAAGCAAGACGTTAATACCTTCGTTACACATTAATACTTCGCCTGACTTGTGCGGCTACACAGGTACGCCTCAAGTACTCCTATGCAGTGTACTATGATAACAAATAAAGGAAAAATCTACGGACACGATTTAATGATCAGGAGATAAAAAGATAATTCTACATTATTTGGTAGGCTGAATTATAAAATAATCATTTTTTCTCTGTAATGTCACGATTTTTCTTAATTTTAACCATTTTTTTTTTCAGAGTGAATTTATTCACATTATCCCGAAACATTTGCTAATAAAAGGAAACTAAAAATCGCTATAGTATATCTGCCTGAAACTATACATTCTCTGATTCATTATTTCAGATATCACACATCATATGTACTTCTCGTCACATTTTTTTTATAGCGAAGTACACATAAAATACTTTATTAGCGAAGCCGGTCATTCTTTTTCAAACATTGCAGAAAATCGGCTACCTCAAGGTAATGTCTTACTAATTCAATATATTTAATTACAGTGAATGGCAAACTGATTACTTGTGGTTTTAATATACAAAATACTAATTTGTGAAAGATGAGTGATCGAATATTAAAATTATTATTACTGATTTTACACCACAAATGATGTATTAATTATCTATTAAGTCCAAGTAATTCTGTAACATTCAGGCAACGTACACTTACAACATTGTGTCATAATACAAGACCAATTTGCGACTCACCTCTACGCAGGTACAACCTCTTGTACATTTCAGAGAACTAGAACACAACCAGCAACTCACCTGAAAAAGAAAGAAAGCGACTTTAGTTTTCATTACATGACAAATATACAAAAAAGATTTAGTAAAATATCCGTTTAATGGGTTGCTTAATACATACACGAAACAGCGATAAAATATTTTCAACTAGGCGTGATTATTACAATTTCTGCATTTAGAACTCTTTCTACGTGTTACTCTCGTAAGAAAATACGACACCTAGCGCATGCTTATTTCGCACATTCTAACTTAACTGCATGTTTTCGGAGAATATCCATTTTGGTGAAAATCCTGATTAGGTAGAGATTAGGCACTGAAGTCGTTCAAAGGAAGACGTATAAGCATACTGCCACTTTCAGAAAAAAAATATTTTTTGGTAACGAATGTATTTTAAACTCAATTACGTACACGATTAAATAATTCACTTCGTACTACATGAGCAAAAACATCCACCTTTACGGTGTCATGAATCAAAACGTAGTTTTCTGTGGGAAAAAATTAGCCTATTTTCCTAGAGAAACATATAATTTATATTACGTGGTAAATACGAGTAATTAAAAACACAAAGAAATCCTTTCTTTCAATAATGTATAAGCTTTTGAAAATCTACCAATATTTTAACAGATTTCATATAAAATATTCAATCAGCATTATTAACGTCTTCTTTATCATTGTATCTGATAGATTATGTTTAAATACCATAGCAAAATCCAAGTGACAATTATATACATGAATTCGATCGTCTTAATACAGTGGCAACAATACAGGCAACTAGAAACTCAAAACGGAAGATATCATCCGTTATACTTCAATTAAAACTTTAGGTCCGTTGACAATCAGCTGTGATGCTGTTTGGAGCGGGAGATTGAACGTCACTAGAGTGACGTCATTACAATGATATTCAATTACAGTGACGTTATACGTCACACTATACATAGGTCACACTATACATAGGTTATACTTCCATTAAAACATAAGGCCTGACACTTTTCAGCAGTGGTGTCGCCTATCGGGAGCTTTAGTGACGTCTCTCCAGTGTCGTCAACCTCCCGTTTGGTTGACACCGTAACAGCTGACCAAGTGTCAACGAACTTATTGCTTTAAACGAAGTGTAGCTACCTACCGAGAACTGAGTGTTCCCAGAACGGGGTGGGGAGTGGGGGCAGCGGCCGAGGTGGGCCGTGGGTGACGAAGCGAGAGGGGCCGGGAGGGGCAGATGGAGCAGCTGCCAAGGCCGTTGGGGTTCCCCGTTCTCGCTCTGCCAAGGCCCCCTTCACCTCTTCCCCACGCACATTACACTCCGTTCAGTCACGACTGCGATTATTTCGACGGATATTTCAGCCAAATTACATGGGGGAGGAGTGATCGGTGAGGCTTTAGAAGAAATGATTCGCATGAATTTGACGAATTTCGGATAATTTTTGCTAGGAGGTCGGAGAATTCCCATTTATTTTGTCATCCTGTCAATTGAAGAATACTTGAATGAAAACTATTTAAGTTTCCACAATTCAAGAAGAGGGAACTTCTTAGCTTTTATTTTTAAGAAATTTTACGAGAATGTTTCCATTTTGGACCACCACTCAACTGAACGCATACTGTCACTTATTAAGTTGAGTCGTATAAAGTCTGCCAGCGTCGGGACTCGCACCTAGGACCTCTGCGTCTTCGAAGCTTCAGTTCACGCGAATCATAACACGCACTCTCGAACCCACTTTCACGGCAACGAAAAAGGCAAATATTTAATTACATTGATGATTTGTGTAGTGAGTAAAACAGGTTAAAAGACTAAGAAACCTTGCCAAAATTGTCTCATGCCTTTCCTTATCTAAACCTAAAGTATTTTCCAACTGAAATAAGTGTATTTTCCAACTGAAATAAGTGTATTTTCCAACTGAAATAAGTGTATTTTCCAACTGAAATAAATATATTTTCTTACTGCAATAAGACTTAATATTTAAACTTCAATGCATGTATTCAAATTTACGTAAGTAACAATGTATTAGGCCTTGTGCAAAACATGTCTTCGCATTGTATTGAGTGATCTGTGTCAAATATAAGAAACTAAAACGGACGAACCAATAATACACTAAGTAATTTTGTAATGAAACGAAACAATATGTCAAAAAGGAAACGTCCAGTAACGAGATTTTCATTACACCTGAATTCCAGTCACTACTTTTCACCCTTTATTTTTCTTCGAGAAGTAGGAAATGCCTTCATAACGCCTCGTAAGGCTTTCTCTTCCTCTGTTTAGTTGACCGTGTGTGTTCTGCCCGCAAGGCTCCCCTCCCCCGAACAAATCGAGGCCCCCCACCACATTCCTCTGCGTGAACTGAAAGCAAAACAACTCGACGAGGAACACTTCAACCGCGCAGGCAGACACTCAGGTCAGTTAGTGCGATGGACACCGGTGGCAGGGAAGTAATGGCTACGCGATTCGTTTTGACGTAAGTGCGTTTCCTGGATATGTTTAATGCGGACGTAGGTTTGAGATGACACGCTATTTTTGCAGTAACAGTGAAAACAGTTTGACGGAGGAAGTGCAGCATGGTTCGGGATTCCTATCCCGTTCACGTGTGTAAAATATTTCCGTCATTAACGCTACTGATGGTGTTAGTGTTCAGTGATGTATCGCTCAGTGAAGAGTTACTATTAGCAACAAAGTGCTGCCCAGACGATGAGATGCTGAACACCAACCTGCGAGAATGTTACAAAAACCCCATCACATCGTACGACTCCTCGGAAGACAGCGTGGCCAACCGCGACACGACAAATCCTGCGCGAGTGGAGTGGTTACCGGGTCACCTGCAACTTCGCAACAGCTCAACAGTGCGACGCGGTCATTTCCCGAAGTGCTCCTCGCGCCTCACGTTGCGTCTGGTAGATCCGCCGGCCGGGCGCGCGCAGCTCCTCGTCAACGGAACTCTCGTGCTTCTTTCGCCCACCGCCAGGGGCGCCGCCCAGCGGACGCTGTTCCGCCCCGAAGACTTCTGCATGGACCTCGCGGCCGCTGACGGCCGCCGACAGCGCGTCTTCTTGCTGTGTCCGTGCGACGGCTTGCAGTGCGTGAGCAAGTGCTGCGCGTTTGGGTTCGCGAAAACTTGCGAAGGGTTACGATGCGAGTGCGTCAAACACGCCGAGGAATGGCAGCCGTTTCACAGCGGCAATATACACGCCTCTCCTACAAACAGTGTCGCGTACGAGATCCTGGAAGCAAACGAGCCACCGTGCCCGCAAGGCTCCCATTTGTGGTTCGACAATCCCATTTACAGACCTCGTCATGTCCTGCTGCACTGGTGGCAATACCCAAACGGACACTTGTTCAGGGATAATTTGGAGAAGTGCGGAGAAATAGTCATTCACAATAACAGTCAGCTCTCCTATACAACAATAGGCTACTGCTACCTCTCTCTACCTTTCGACGGGTTTTTCGAACTGGGATCGATGTTGCACATCCCCGCCGCAGCACTCCTCGCCCTCACCATGATCACATTAGCGACTGCTTCAGAAAAGAGTGTGTCGGCGCATGGCTGGGTCCACTATAGGGCGATGCAGTGCCACATCGCATCCTTGCTGGTGTCCAACACCATTCTGGCCACGTACCTTCTTACTGAGGATAAAACCATGTTTTGCCTCACGACACGTAAGTCTTCTAGAAAAAGATTCTACACGTTCTAGTCGTGGAATACTTACACAATTTTGTAACTTTATCTATTACCGAAAAAAGAGCTTTCTTTGGATCTCCTCGCAAACATGTCAACTTATTACATTCTCAAAAGTTTTCAATTTTCCAAGTTGCATACTCAGATAATAATGGTGGTATTTGTAAACAATAAATATTATATTTTTACTTATAGCTATCAATTAGAATGTCTAGCTATAGATTTTCCTTCTACAAAAATTATATTGCAACTTAAACTTATCAATGCCAAAGTGTGGGACAGATCCTCAGGATCGCTAGCTCTGCTAAACACTACTCTGGTTTTGGATTATGGACAATGTATTTTAAAATTAGTAAATTTTGCTTTCTCATCTTTTCAAAACTATTATTGCAGGCCCCGCGAGAACAATATTTGTATCTACTTTATTGCACGATTTAAATATTGGGATATCCTACGGCTAGAACTGGAAGAAGAGGGTTACGCATTCATACATTCGGAAAGTTCGACATAATCCAAGTTTTTGGTATTGAAGCTTCCGATTAGATGATGGGAGTTCCCCTTCTTTACAGTTTCTGAGTTTGGGGACCTTTAAATATAGTCACTATATTTAAGTCTAACAATGTATTATGTTTTGTTTTCTTTGCAGCTATGGCCATGTATTTCTCATTAGTATCCGCAGCCTTCTGGCTCAACGTTATCTGTGTGAATATGACATGTGGATTTCGGTAAGTACTATATTTTTATTTCTACTCCACACAATAAATGTTTGCTGTTACACTCTCTATAACATATCCTTTCCATTTCCGCCTCTATTATTATTGTTAATCTGCATCTAAAACTATGCAGGAATCAAATATTAAATTTCAAAACTATTTTACGGGAGACCTTCCTATTGAGCTCCCAGTGTTATTAATTTTAATTTCAAACAAAGCTAGGACCAGGGAAGACACTGTAGTTATAAATTATTAAAACAATCCACCACACATCGTTTTCCACAAATCACTATTGTAATTTTATGCCTATAGAAACTTTACTTCATAATGTGGCCATTTGCTTCCCTGATTTTGCTTCTTGTGAATAAAAATATAAAGATGTATATCATTGCTTTAGAAGAACTTTGCACATGCGGTGACTCACGAAATTAATCATATACAGTAAGCAGAAATATCACAATATTACACTTCAAAGCATCATTTATTTATTTTGAACCGCACACTCTGCATTGAAACACGAACTGGCATCAATACATGTCGTTCCGACTAATTTGAAACAAAATAAACAAAATTATTAATAAAATTATCAAAACGTGGCATTTTCCGCAACACAAAATTCATCATACACTATGCTGTTTTAATTAATATTTCCGAGTAAAAGGAAACCCCTTGGTGGCGTCCAGCGAAGTTTGATGGCACGAAATGCAGAAGCAGCTACCTTGCTTGGCTAGGAGAAATTCTATTCCATTCCCCCATTATTATTTTTGTCAATTTGTCTGATGTCCCTACCAAAAAAAGCAAATTTGATAGAGATTCAGAGACTGTTTGGGAGATTCCAGACGCTACGAAGTGCTGTATTCATGTAATAACCAGTAGCACACAATGGATGCCGTATGTCTAGGATCGTAGTTATTTTGAAATCTTTAGAATGACTCCAAGCCTAAATTTTATTCACTGGTTCTCACATTTTTTCTTTAGTAAGTTCGGTAGCATGCAACCCCTAACCTTCATTGAACCGCCACAGTGTTCTACAACCTAATTTGGCTTGCGACGTACGAACTTCTGTCCATTCGATCCTCAAAGATGAAATTAATTTCCGTCACACAACATTCCGGTAAGGATATTTTTATGCTTCTTTTATACCCAAGGCCTAGCTGGCGTAGATGACAAAATATTCCCCTTGGTTTGCGAGTGAGCGCATATTATTCGCTGAGTATTCTAGGATTCGAACTCCTATGCTGCTAATATTGTAGTACAAGTCTTTTCACTCGTTTAAACTCTTCACAAACACAAAAATGTTTTTGAACAATGTACTGTTCAAAAGAGGTTGTTGAAATGTTTATTGGGTGCCGTGCTTTATAGCACTTTCGTATATCACAATGTTCACAGATCGCCAAAAGCCACGCCCATGATTAACAGAAGAAGCGGGCGCAGAATGTTTCTGTACTACTCATACTACGCGTGTGGGTCATCCGCCGTCATGACAGCACTCACCGCTAGCATGTGGTACGCTCAAGAGGTTCCACATGGCTGGGTGCGACCAACTCTTATGGAAACACGAAGATGTTTCTGGGAGGACGGTAAAATTGCATAGTTGGTCTTCTTTTATTAAATGCTTACTATTTCAAAACCAAAAAAATGTATTCATTCATAGATCAAAAGGACGTCTCGTCTTTCTTCTTGATATTTTTGGCGAAAATTGTGTTCTCACACCAATCAATATTGTCAGCAATTATTTAAGTATCAATATCTTCTCTTTTGAAATATGTTGTAGGTTAACAAAACAAATAGAAAATTCACAAATGATGTGTCACTAGTAAATTCAGAAATGATGTGTCACTAGTAGGGTAAGTTCGGGCTAGATGGCCTTAGTATTTTTTTCTACATATTATGGCATAATTACGTGAAATAAAAACAAGCGAAAGTCGAAAAAAGAAAACCTTATTCTTTATACAATCTTTATACTTATACAATACTTTATACAATCTTTATCTTATTCTTTATACTTATACTTTTTACAATTTCCTTTAATTACAACTGTCAACTCATCTCTTTCGTATCTTATGGGTCAGATGGCCTTACCAGTTCGAATATAATGGCCACTGCCTATTTTGAGCTATTATAGTACACTTTTCTTTCGCATATTGTAGCATCCTACAGACTGGCAAAGTGTCTAAGAGCAACAAAACCTTCACCGATTACATTCCACCAACATTGTTCTCTCGGCCTATTAAGCTCCAAATGAACTGGTTAAGTCGTAAGTTCAACACTAAGTCCGCGGCAGTCCACTCTGGCGGATTATTTTACAAACTTTGTAAATTGATCATCTCTCTCTCATGGTCATCTACCCAGAACTTACCATACCATGGGACTTATGTGACGCAAACGACCTGGTAACAACGCTGTTGATTCAAATAGAGCGTCGAAGATTTGATTTTGGAGTAAGGATGTATAAAGTGAAGGTAAAATACATGGTATTCATAAATCGGCATATATTCATTAGATTACAATTATTATTCATTATTATAATATTCATTATCATATTATTCATTAAATAACAAATTCTTATTGAATGCGAAAAACTAAGTTTCAAATTTTTGGTAAGCTTAGTCCTCTCAGGACTAGATATATGAACATAATACTAGATAAATCCATAAATGTTTAAAATATATTACAGGTGAAATTCATAATTAATGAACATCAGTAGAGTATTTCTGAATAAATGTTAGAAATTCTAGAGTGTGTGAAGAGATCGAAGAGAATCACGTTTTGCCAATTAATATGTGTTGGGAAATTTCACACAACGAAGTCACACAAGTAATATTTGCTCTTGATTATTTGAAGATAATCCATATTTTGTTTTTGTCGTTGTTAAAATTGTTGTGCATGAATACAGAATAAATTAACATTACAAGAAGTCTGTAAAAAAATATGGACACTAATTCTTCAAATAATCATGAATGATTATGACAGGCTAAAAAAGGCGGAAATAAAAACTTTTGCTCTTCATTAGGCAACTCCTCCGTGGCGTTGGGCGGACAAACTCGGGTATACGACTGTGCTGGAATGTGACCTGCCAATGACTAATTAATGGGGAGGTCTCTAATTATCAGGGACAAATGCCACATGTACAACTTCCGTACATGGAATATCCCTCCACATGATCTATAGCACAAAGCTATCATCTTCGATTCCTTTACGTGCCCTAGAAGTTAATAACATTTATTCCGAGACACAGCTGTATCTTGTAATGCAGAGCGCCCAAAAGAGAGAGATGGGGGGGAGGCTGAAGCTAAACGGAACGCCGACTACGT